CACAGGGGGGAGAGAAGGGCTGGTGGAGGGGGGCAGGTCTCAGGAAGGCTAAGGGCAGCGAGAAGGGCAGGAGTCAGGACAGCAGAGGAGGGGGAGGAGTTGGGGGGGCAGCAGGCACCAGGGGAGCTGATGGAACAAGGGGAGGAGACATGGCAGCAGAGGGAAAAGGTAGAAGTTTATAAGATACTTATTAATAACTTGGGTGATATTTATTAAGAACGTATTAGTAATTACTGTTCTTATTCTTATTAGGAATTTATGCCATTAAAAAACACTTGGGGGGGGAGGGTGGCGAGTCCCTTTTTTGTCTGGCGAGTAGGGTTTTCCATAATTTGTCGAGCCCTGGTTATCTCTAAAGCTATTCACTGTGACATTGTGCCTTGAAGGAGAGTGAGGTCAGATTTGGGGGGATTGATTATTAGAGCTCTGACAGTCATAGGAAGGACCCATATTCTGTCATCACCTTGAGAGTAATCTGAGGATTATGACAAAGATGGGAAAAAGGTCTGAAACAAATTAGAACAGTAAGAGTGGTATGCCAAAATGGCTGGGGGTGAATGACAAGAGGCCTGTCATTAAGAAATCGGAGACAGTGTAGTTCAGTCGGTCTGAGTTACTTGCAGCCCAGGATTTCAACCTCTTCCTTTGGTACTGATCTTAGTGTTCTTTCTCATTTTGTGGTTTAATGTTCCTAAAAGGCAATGTTTGGGCTTTGGTGTGTTGTTCAGAGGATTGTTTCAGAGGTGCTGAAAATTGATTTAAAGCCTGAGACTTTTTTCTTTGGTGAAGGTGCTTCACTAAACAGGTGACAATTCTAGTTTGGGCATACTAATGTGTTTATTTTAAGTTAATAACACTGCATAATATCTCTGGAACTATAGATTCACTTCTTTCCCCCTTTCTGTGACAGTAAGAGCAGTGGATCTGCATCTTTACTGGCTCTGTCCTGGATGTGTTTGCTTGTGCGCATAGTCTTCCCAACACGTGACAAGAGAGAAGGCGAAATATGGAAAAAGCTGGTAGGTACCTTAGTGCTCTGGAAGGGCTTTTTACACTTCCTTTTGAAATATTGTTATATATTTCCAAGTTAATGTGGCAATGTGAGGGATCCTGAATGTGATTCTGGATTTATTGGTGCAGATTGTAACAGCTGGTTTCATATTAATACCCACATGCATATGGTCTTTCTCTTTTATTTATTTACTCTATACACTTTGCATAGTATTTTGATTTCTCTTTTTCTGGTAGAAGAGGCAGGAAGTCCTGAGTGTCACTTTAATAGCTGTGGTTAGAGCCAGGCAAAGTTGCTCTGTACGCTTCTGTCTGGAATTGCAACAGAATTGTTTTTCTAGTGTTGGATCCTCCCGCCAGATTTTTTGATAATGCATCTGAATCCCAGCCTGCCATCACTCAACCTGACTGTCTCCTAAGCAGATTGCATACTTTTTGGGGTGGCATAAAGAAGCTTTTCACTTTATTTTTTCTTGATATTTGGTCTGTCCTGTGGTCCTTATCCCTGCCACTTTGGAATAAAAACACTGTTTTCCTAACAATGATCTCACAAAAATTTATTTGAAATCCTATTAAAAGTCCTTTGTGATGTGGAAGTTGCTGATGGAGATCCTAGACTCCTTGCTCAAAGTTAAAGTGAATATCATCTATGTTTTTCTCAAGTGGTAAGTCAGTTTGTGAATGTGGTTTTTACCCCCCTCTTTCTTTTGGCAGGTGGAAGTTCAGTGTTTGCTTCTGTTGGAAGTTCTGGGAGGTTCTCACAAGCATGCAGTGACTGGAGCTGTGAAGAAATTGAACAGGCTTTGGAAAGAGGTGACACATGATTTGACAGAGTGTGATCTGATTCACTAACTTTTCTAGTGCTGCTTGAGTTTATTATCTTCTGGTTCTTCTCAACAGAACCCAGGGCTGGTGGATCAGTACCTGTCTGTCATTCTCAGTCTAGAACCAAACCAGAACTATGCTGCAATGCTGGGGTTTCTGGTGCAATTTTGTACAAGCCAGAAAGAGATGGATGTTGTTAACAGACACAAGGTAAAGAAGAACTCTTTCTCCTCCATAATAATCAGAATAAATTTCCATTGGGAATGGATAGAAATGTTATAGCAAGGCGGATGCTTTACATCTGTCAGTCTGATAGTATAGTGAGATTGCTCTGATCAAAGCTCAAGTACCCTGATCTAAGTTGTGTTTAGGAAGACCATTGGCAGTACCCAGCCCTTCTGTGTATCTCTTGCTTTTAGGGAGATAGCCAAGGTGCCTGCTTTCCCTATTTCTGTATCCGCATTTAAGGAATGGAGTAGAGCACCTAGCACTCTGTGGGGCTTTTTGTGTCCAGGCTAGCAGATAGGGCAAAGAACCATGCTTCCTAGTGGATCTGAATATGTAAGAGTGGTAATGGAACTGAAATTCATCTTGAATGGGATTGTGTGTTTTGGGGGAAACAAGATGGGGCACAATTCTAGGCTCCCTGCTGGCATTCAGGGAGTGTGAGCATGTTGTAACATGACCATAACAGGTGTTCTGCTTGTTCAGAGTGCCCTGCTGGATTTCTACATAAAGACCATCGTGATGAGTAAGACCAAACCCCAGAAGCACTTGCTGGTGAGAGATGTGATGTTTTATACTTTTGTCCCACATATGTTTGGTGCTGGGTGCCTGACTGTTTTCTCTCTGCAGGATAACTGTGCCCCCCTCCTCCGTTATGTGACTCACTCTGAATTCAAAGACCTGGTCCTACCAACTCTGCAGAAATCCTTGCTGCGGAGCCCTGAGAACGTGATTGAAAGTGAGTCACCTGAAAGCAAGATGGGAAGGGGCATGAAGAGTGTTTGCCCAGAGTTCAGGCATTAGTGTGGGTGACAGAAGAGTGCCACCCATTGGACTGTGTTCAAGCAGACTCAACCTGTGAGCAGAACTAGGTGGTAGGATGGCTGGCTCTGATGGGCTGGATGTGAAGAGGTAGTGTTGGTAATAATGTCTCGAGTGGTTGAGTATATATTATCTTCTGTTTGCAGATAGCAGAATTTTACAGTTGAATCACTGAATAATTCTGAGTAAATTTGTGGATTAAGAGGCAGTTTCTGTGGCTGTCTTTCCACTTCTCATTGCAGCAACTCTTCTAATGATCTCTGACAGCTTAAAATGTGATGGAAGGCTAAAAGCCAGTTGTTTAACATCAGTAACTTCTTTTCTGTCCCTAGCTATCTCCTGCTTGCTAGCATCCATGACCCTTGATCTAAGCCAGTATGCTCTGGATATCGTGAAAGGATTGGCCAGTAAGTACCAGAACCTCTAATGAGATGGCAGATTCTTAGCAGGACTTGCTAATAGTGTCTCTGTGTTTATGATTGCTGTATTGTTAGGCCTGTTCTGATTATGAAATTGTCCTTGTCATTGTGGGTGGGAGGCCATACTATGATATTGAATTGAAATATTGCTCAGTACACTTGTGAAAAGAATTGGAGTTTCAGTTCTAGCAATCTTATGGTTGTTTGAGGCCTGTTATGCAAAGTGGTTTAGTAGCAGGCGAATGGTTGCTTTTGCAGTAAGGTACAGAACGAAGAGATGAAAGATTTCGCTTCTGTTTCTAATCTTGCTACAGACTGACACTGATCAATTCACTTAATTCCCTACCCCTCAATAGCTCCATCTGTAAAATAGGGAAGCATTTCAGTTTCACAGAGGAGTGGAGTGTAAATGTCTTATTGTTTGTACACTGCCATAACACTGCAGAATTAATATTGACAATATTGAGTATATGCCCTGCCACAATGGAATGGAGGAAATTCTCACGTGGGTAGAAGCTAAGGCTGGCTGCATGGATCGCACAAAGTTATCTCCACACCCTCTTGAGGAGATGTGTATAGGTCTTGAGTAACTCTTGGCTTGCATATTGCATTTTTAGGTCAACTGAAATCTAACAGTCCACAGCTGATGGATGAGGCAGTGGTGGCCTTAAAGAATCTGGCTCGACAGTGCAGTGATCCATCGGCTGTGGAGTCACTGGGGAGGCACCTGTTTGCCATCCTGGGGGGTAAGTAACTTATGAGTCAATCAGTGGAGATCAGCTGAAGTTTGCTTGCTCTGAGGCATATTCCATACCGTACGCCAGCTATAAGTTGAGTAGCACCAGCATGGTCTGGATCACATGGAAGGCTCAACGGTTGTCTGGAAAAAATAGTCTCTCTTATGGATTTAATAGTTGCTTCAGTTAGTTTTCTTGCTACCATCTTTCTCACTACTCTGTTTTTTGGTGACAGGTTCAGAGGGAAAACTGACGGTTGTGGCCCAGAAGATAAGTGTCCTTTCAGGTAAGGATATTGGATAAAGTAGGGAAGGCACATTCTACAGCAGCATAGATTTAGCAGAAAGTTGAGTACTTGAGTCTTTCAGTGTCAGTAATTCTTAACCAGTCATGTCTAGTGGATCTTGGATGATAGCACATACTATTGTTTTCAGGCTAATGGCCGTCTGCTCTTTCAGTTTGTTGTAGCTATTAGAGACAAATGGAAATTCAGAAAGCTTTAAAATGTGTAGCCAAAAGAAAAGAGGCTTGCATAGTTGCAACAGTGATTTAAATGTAAAGAGAGATCCTTGAGCTACAGGACCTGGTGATGTCTAAATCCAGAACTGATGCAGCAATGATGAACTCTCATGATGGCGTCAAAGTCATGGGTAACTTTCAGACAGATGGAGAGAGCTGTCCCTAGATAAAATTTCCTTGAGCCAGCAACTAAACAGGCAGAGGAGAAATTTGGACAGGCAGGGATGTATTGTGATTGAGCTATGATGGGTTGGTTGTAGCTTACATGTTTGATTTGCAGTAAGTCTTGTAGCAGAATGCTCACCAGGGAGTGTTTTGTGATTTTTTTTTTTTTCTGGAATTGGCAGTTTTAGTCATCATGTGGTTTCTGGGCCTTCAAATCAAGCTCTTAGTGGAACCATCGTTGAACTTTTCATCCCTTTCCTGCAACAAGAAGGTGAGGACACAATTTTTTTTTGTTCTGGATGCTGCCCAGCTTCATTCAATCCAGAGCAGGATTTTGGTGCAGAACATATTTAGCTGAAGACAAATCTGAGGCACCTCTATTGATTTAAGGAATCATTTGTGTAGACCCTCATTCTTTATTGATGAAACAGCCTCATAGAGAGAATAAGCTATGTAAATTGAGTTTGAACTTTAGGATGTGTCCTTTCCATCACACTTCAGTATTTTCCTGCTTACCTGAATGCATTCATAGGTTAGAGCATGGGTTCCCAAACTGGGGGGTGTACCCCCTGGGGTGTGTGTGTGAAGAAGTGGCAGGAGGGGCCTGAGGCGACCCAGCCCCCTCCATCAATCTCAATTTTTGCTGCTATTTTTGTTTCTCATTTTCTGTCAGTTCCTTTTTCCCCCCCCTCAACAAGTTTTGCTGCTATTTTTGGGGGGAGCAGGGGTGTGAGGGTTTCTTAAAAATCAAAAAGGGGGCGTGATGCCGAAAAGTTTGAGAACCACTGGGTTAGAGATAGTTATTCTGACTTTCTCTGCATTTCTTCCCAGTCCATGAAGGCACTTTGGTACATGCTGTCTCTGTCCTTGCTCTTTGGTGTAATCGGTTCACCACAGAAGTTCCCAAGAAGCTTGTTGAGTGGTTAAAGAAAGCCTTCAGCCTTAAAACCTCTACTTCAGCTGTGCGACATGCCTACCTGCAATGCATGCTAGCTTCTTTCAAAGGTAAAGTTTAAGATCATAACTTTGCAAGGCTGTGTCTACACTGGCGCGATCTTGCGCAAAAGCGGCCGCTCGCTGGCGGGGAGTTCTTGCTCAAGAACACTGATGTTCTAATGTATGAAATCAGGGCTTCTTGCGCAAGAACTATGATGCTCTCGCTCAGGAAAAGCCCTTTTGCGCAACTGTTCTTGTGCAAGAGGCCAGTGTAGACAGGCAACATGAATTTCTTATGCAAGAAAGCCCGATGGCTAAAATGGCCATCGGAGCGTTCTTGTGCAAGAGAGCATCTACACTGGCACAGATGCTCTTGCGCGAAAGCATATCTCTTGTGCAAAAGCACATGACAGTGTAGACGCTCTCTTGTGCAAATACTTGAACGCAAAAACTCTTGCGTTAAAAGTATTTGCGCAAAATCTTGCCAATGTAGATGTAACCTATGGAGTTATGTGGGGTAATTGAGTCTCATGCATCTAGATGTAAACTGATCACTAAAGGGAGATAGGTAGATAATGTGACAGATTGTTTCATAATAAAGTTCTTCACAAACCCAGCCTTCTGGTGCTTCCTTGAGAATGCTTTCATGGACTCTCACTATTGTGGATCCACAGTTGGATCAACCATACTAAAGAGTAACTATCTCTATAGTCTAAATCAGATACTGTGAAACTGCCTTTTCTCATTGTGATGCCTGTATTTGGTCTTTCCAAATGAGCCCTGCATTTCTTATTATAATAGGAGCTATGAGGAATCTGTCTATTACTATGAGGGTAGAAGCAAATACTTTCATTACTAAATTAGTGACCAGGGCCATGATCCCATGTAGGCAAGCTCCTGAGGTTGTTGGGACTCCATCTGAGTGTATGGGTTGTCTTAATGTGCAGCTGTTCATGGGATCAGGGTTCAAGACATTAATATGACAAAAATGAAAATTACCCATCATGTTTACTGATTGTGCCATTGGTTTGACCCACTGGGATAAACTTAAACTGATAAATAAGAAGAATATAAAGATATTTGATCTAATTATTGGATTTTTTATGATTTAAAACAATCTTTCTTGACTTAGTGGTGATGCATATTTGGACATATTTTTCTTTTGTTTTGAATGTTAATTCAAAGGATATTTACATCTGAGAACCTTGATGATTTGAGATGTAAGAGGTGTTCACATACCTTTCAATGAATTCTGCTTTGGTTTGTTTCAGAAAACTTGCTCTGTTCAGGAAACAGTCTCTCTCAAATGCAAGGAAATTGGGTGGAATTTGAGTGGATGAGTAATTGTGTAGCATTGGATCAGAATCTTCTTTCACTCATAGCAAACAGAAGCTCAGAGTGGGAAAGCAGCATGTTACTCAAGAGGGAGGAATGGGAAGGTGCCACTTTTGTCCATGGGTTAAAAAATTAATTATGGTGGTAATGCAAGGAGCTAAAGTTCTTTTGGCAGATTATCTATTCTGGAGATGTAGACCCATTCCAATGGTCTCTCGAGTTCATTTCCATAGTTAAAATTCATGACAACAAAAGAGCTCTTAATATCTTTTAGTCCACCTTTTCTTGCCTCTTATTGCTTTGTTTCCTCAGGTGACACATTATTACAGGCAATGGACTTATTGCCAATGCTTATCCAGACAGTGGAAAAATCAGCATCTCAAAGTACTCAGGTTTCCATGGTAACGGAAGGAGTTGCTTCTGCTTTGCTGATCTGTAGGATGTCTGTGATTGATGCACTAACTGGTAAGAGCCCAAAAATGAAACAGTTACCAGGACAGTGTCAGTGAATTTTAAGGGTTTGAATGGTTTCCTTCATGACTTTGGTGTGATGTTGTCATATTCTTTGCCAGTCTTTTACTTTGTCACAGAGAATCCTTGTCCATTTGTAAGCCAGCTGAAGTAAAATCCCCTGTGGAGCAAGTGCAGGAAGTGAGAATTGTTGCTGTGCTATAGTTCTGAAAATTCCAGGTTCCAGTGCTTTAGTTGATGCAGCATGCCTTTTTTAGTGGCCTCTCTTATTACAGAAAAAATCTTCATTTAGGTCTAAACTTTCCATATCTGTTAGCTAAGGCATTGATTAAACCAGCATTAAGAATACCCTTGTTTGTTCTTTTGGAACACTTTTTCATTGGACAGTGGTGGAATGGGAAAATTGGGTGTCATTAAAGAGGTTTTGGAACAAACTGATAAACTAACCAGTAACAAGTCATAAGGAATTCTCAAAGAACTCACATGTGAAATTGCAGAACTACTAACTGTGGTTTGTAATGTATCCTTTAAACCATATTCTTTACTCAATGACTGGAGTATAGTTAATTTGATTCCAGTTTTTAAAAAGGACTCTCGAATTGATCCTGGCAATTACAGAAAGGTAAATCTAACCCTCAGTATCAGACAAACTGGTTGAAACTATAGTGAAGAACAAAATTGTCAGACACACAGATGAACATAATTTGTTGGTGAAAAGTCAACTTGGTTTCTGTAAAGGTAAAGCATGCTTCACCAATCTACTAGGATTTTTTGAGGGGGTCACCAAGCATGTGGGTGAGGAAGATCCAGTGGATATAGTGTACTTAGATTTCCAGAAAGCCTTTGACAAGGTCCCTCACCAAAGGCTCTTAAGCAAAGTAAGATGGCACAGGGACAAGAGGGAAGATCCTGTCATAGACTGATAACTGGTGAAAAGACAAGAAACAAAGATTAGGAATAAATGATAATTTTTCAGATTGAAGAGAGGTAACTAGTGGTGTCCAGCTGGAGTCCATACTGGGACTAGTCCTATTCAACATATTCATAAATGATCTGGAGAAAGGGGTAAGCAGTGAGGTGGCAGAATTTTGCAGAGGATACAAAACTGTTCAAGGTAATTAAGTCCAAAGTAGGAATGTGAATGGGTAGGTGGACTGGGAGTTGGCATCCTTGCGGGGGATGAGGTGGAAGGAGAGCTTCTGGCTCCAGGTTTGCGTGGGCTGGGAGTTGTAGCCATTCCCTCCCTTTCACCGTCCACTTCTGCCCAGCATGAGCCTGCTGACTCCAACTGGCTAAATAATTAATTGGGATTTTTACATCCCTAGTCTAAAGCAGACTGTGAAGAGCTTCAAAGGGATCTCGCAAAACTAGGTGACTAGGCAACAAAATGGCAGATTATTTCAATGTTGATAAATGCAAAGTAATGCACATTGGAAAACATAATCACAACTGTATGTATACAGTGATGGGGACTAATTTAGCTGTTATGACTTGAGAGATCTTGGAGTCTTTGAGGTTAGTTCTCTGAAAATATCCACTCAAATGTGCAGCGGCAGTCAAAAAAGCAAACAGAAAGCTAGGAATCTTTAAAAAGGGATAGGGAATAAGACAGGGACTATTTTATTGCCTTTGTATAAATCCATGGTATGGAGAAAGTAAATAAGAAAAGTTATTTACTTACTCCCAAAACACAAGAACTCTTGGTCATCAAATTAAATTAATAGCTAGCGGGTTTAAAACAAACAGAAGGAAGTATTTCTTCACACAACACACAGTCAGCCTATGGAACTCCTTGTCAGAGGATGTTGTAAAAGCCAGGACGTTAACAAGATTCAAGAACCAGATAAATGCATGGAGGTTAGGACCATCGCTGCTTCTTAGCCGGGATGGGTAGGACTGGTGTCCCTAGCTCCTGTTTGTCAGAACCTGGGAATGGGCAACAGGGGATGGATCATTTGATTACCTGTTCTGTTAATTCCTTCTGGGGCACCTACCATTGGCCACTGTTGGAAGATAGGACGTTGGGCTAGATGGACCATTGGTCTAACCCAGTATGGCCGTTCTTATGTTATGTAAAGAAGCAGCTGGGGATCCCAGCATCCAGTAAAGTAGCAAAAGCATCTGTTCTGGTTCTGTGCTTCCAATTAAATACCATCACCCGATCCTCCTTCCAAGTACTGTCTAAACTCAGGTATCTGTTAGGGCAAAACACTCTCCTCCATACAGCCTGCTCCCTGCCTACCAAATGTGATGTGTAAGTTCCCTCTTCCCTTTTAGGATTGAGCTCACTTGGAAGAGTTGTCCTAGGAAAGTCTGGGTGGGAGAGGCATGAATGAATGGAATCTTCTAATTCTTGTAATCTCTCAGTTCAGAAGTAAATGTCTCCCGCAGAAAGTGCTGTGCCATGGCTATTTAGGTGTTATACCGTCTGAATGGGATAGCAGCTGTGAAAGCTGAAGAGCAGGGAAGGTAGAGAGTTTCAATATAAGAGACTGAACTAAACTATGTTTCAATGTAAGGTATGTTTCACTGTATGGTAAATCCTGTCTTGTTTTGAATTTAATGGAAGAATCTTCTCTCCATCCTAGAGTCCAAGCTGAGTGGCTTCTGGCAGTTGATTCTTGATGAGAAGAAGCAAATATTCACTTCTGAGAAGTTTTTACAGTCTGCATCAGAGGAAGGTGAGTTGTTAAATGTGATCAGAGTTCATTAGTACGCATCCTGTTATTTACAAGAGCTGTTGCTGCATGTTAACCATATTGTCTGATGCTCACAGGGTGAGATTTCAGACTGAAGTGAAGTGACTGTTCTCCCAAAGGATCTGATCTACTCATGATCCTCTTTTTAACATGAATTCATTCATTAATGATTACCTTGAATTATGAAACACCTTGTTAAATGCTAATCTTAACGCTTCACAATATGTGTTCCTTGACGAAAATAATTGTGGGGTACCTAGATCAGATCACTAGATTATCACAAGTTTTAGTTTAAATAAACTGAAAGAATGAGGTATAATGGAGAAAAGAGAAAAAGGGGAGTAGTAGTGGTGTGTTGGGGAAGAAAATGTATGGGAAAAGTAGAGATTTATAAAGGAGGAATAATGAGGGAGCCACAAAATTTGTTTTGGTATGAATTAAATTGTATACTGTCTCCACATTCTCTAATGTTTAAACTCAATTACAATTTTTTAGTAGAAAAATTCACTTGTGCCCAGGAAAACATTACCTTTTCAAGCAAAGCATTTGAAAATGAGCTGATTAATTATTCTTGAAGTGAAGAGTTGTGAAGAGAAAAACCTTTAAAAATTTTAAGTAATGTTATTTCTCCTTTACTTGCCATGATCACGGTTCAGGAGTCAGAGTTCTCTTTTTCTCCTGATGACGTTAGTCTTGCTGGAAAGAGACATACTTGTCACAAGCTGCTAGTGATGTTCCCTGATTAGTATGGGTAAAGATTTGTTTTCTTCAGGACAATGATAGCAAAACAGTACTATAGATGTGTGTTGATGGCCAACACCCACCCATCTGTTCTGTCCTGCTGCAGAATCCACCCATTACGATAGGACTATACTTCATAGTCTAAGCTTCATTATCTAAGATTTCATTTAAAACAGAAATTTCCTGCTCTCACAGTTGTGAAGGAAGCTTTGGAAACATCCTCCTGAGAAATGTTCCCTCTCATCTTTTCTATCTATGTGCGGAATAAATGTGTATGTGTACCAAGGCATGCATGAATGTGCGCCACCAGTAAAAACAAAAAAACAGTTGTGAGCGCACTGCTAATCAGTTGAGCGGCATTTCAATCTCTCCTGAGAGGCTGCACAAGTGCACATCTTACAGGGTACACTGCTCCTGAGTTCAGACAACCTGAAGTATATTTGAACAGCCGTTGTTAATTGCAGTTGCAGATTAACTCTGTAAGCTAATGCAGACAGTATATGTAACCAATTGTTAAATGTTTGGCTACTAATTAGATAAGCAGAAGTAGCCAACTAAATTACCTAACAATGCCAAATCATTTCTGATAACTTTCTGGGTGCAAAAAAAGGCCCACTTTCCCCCATCCAAATGCCCAAACCTCTAGCTTCTCATGACTGCTTCTATCATGCTGTTATATGTTGAGGCAAAAAACAGCCATACTGAATTTGAGAATCTGAGGGCAGCATAAATTAAATAGTGAAAGCTATTATAGTATTTTACACTGAGTTTGAATTCAGTAAAATCCTCCATTTTTGAATGAAGCTGCAACAGAATGCCACAGATACTACAGCATTACTGCAAAATTTAGGTCCATCATGACACAGAATACACAAGGTCTTGTTTATAGCTTAGTTTCTATAACCCATTATTAGGCAAAAAATATCCCCACTACATTGTTGAAGGGAATCATGCTAGAAGTCTTAGAATCATAGAATACTAGGACTGGAAGGGACCTCGAGAGGTCATCGAGTCCAGTCCCCTGCCCTCATGACAGGACCATGTAATAGTCTTCTAGTAATAGTCTTGTTCAGTTACATTTCTACTTCCAATGTGGACAAAGTTTTAGTTGCTAGCAATACTTTTACCTCTTTCAAAGGATCCATACAGATTGTCAAGTAAGAAAAGATTGCTTTTTGAGATGCATTGTTCTAAAGTGTCCTTTATGCTTTTCATCTGCTCATAGATTAATATCCAGCCTTTTTAGTCCCACAGTAAGCCCTCACACTGTTTGTCTTCCATGTCTTGTGTGTTTCTCTACAGCCATGTGCACAGTATTGCAGCTGACAGAACGCCTCCTCTTGGACCATGCACATCGGCTCCCTGAAAATAAAGTTCAGTACGTAGAACGTGTCTGTATTAATCTGATACAATTAACTTCCTAAAGTACTAATACAGGAGAGGGAGGTCCTGGGACTTTGCATAGGAGGATGTGTATCTCCATGTTCGAATGTTCTGCCTGACTAGCTCCCTTTGCTGAACTTGTTTCTCTCTGTTTTCAGACAGTATCACCGAGCACTTGTTGCAGTACTGCTGAGCCGGAACTGGCATGTTCGAAGGCATGCCCAGAAGACAGTTAGGAAACTCTTGTCCTCACTTGGAGGGTACAGGTTGGCCTATGGGATCTTGGAGGAGTTGAAAACTGTTCTCAAGTCTCATAAGGTGAATGACCGCTAGGTTTATTCCCAGATGTCACACTGTTTACCGCTATAATCTCCTTGCTCTTAATGCTGCTATGTAACATGATGTCAAAACCAGAATTTTGGATTTTTAAAGGATGTTGTGTTAATGATCCCACATAACATCACTCCTTACTAGACTTCCATAGGTGACTATACAGATGTCCAAGTTGTTCAGGTCATTTATCTTTCCTTGTGACCACAGTTATTCTCACCATTCCTCCTGTGCCTCTGGGGAAGAAGACTTTTGCCTACTAAATGCCTGTGTTCTTTTGTCTAAGTTGTTACCTCTTATTTTCTCTGTCTCCTTTGTGAGGCCAGTGTACTCTGTTCCCCTTCTTGGTGTGCCAGTTAGTAGCTGCCCCTAGGCAATAGTTCAGATGCTCTGTTCAGATTCTTTAAAATTTTATATATAATATGCATGTTTTATTGTTAATTATGAGGAAATTTAAAAAGAATAATAAGAAACCAGATTAAACATAAGAATGGCTCTACTGGGTCAGACCAAAGGTCCGTCTAGCCCAGTATCCTGTCTGCCGACAGTGGCCAGCACCAGGTGCCCTGGAGGGGGTGGACTGAAGACAATGATCAAGTGATTTGTCTCGTGCCATCTGTCTCCAGCCTCTTGACAAACAGAGGCCCAGGATACCATTCCTATGCCCTGGCTAATAGCCTTTTAAGGACCTAACCTCCATGAATTTATCTAGCTTGTCTTTAAACTCTGTTATAGTCCTAGCCTTCACAGCCTCCTCTGGCAAGGAGTTCCACAGGTTGACTACACGCTGTGTGAAGAAGAACTTTCTTTTATTAGTTTTAAATCTGCTACCTATTAATTTCATTTGGTGTCCTCTAGTCCTTATATTATGGGAACCAATGAATAACTTTTCTTTATTCACCCTCTCCACACCACTCATGATTTTATAGACCTCTATCATATCCCCCCTCAGTCTCCTCTTTTCCAAACTGAAAAGTCCCAGTCGATTTAGCCTCTCCTCATATGGGACCTTTTCCAAACCCCTGATCATTTTAGTTGCCCATTTCTGAACTCTTTCCAAGGCCAAAATATCTTTTTTGAGGTGAGGAGACCACATCTGTACACAGTACTCAAGATGTGGGCGTACCATAGTTTTATACAGGGGCAGTAAGATATTCTGGGTCTTATTTTCTTACAAGTGCTGTTTGCTAGCCTGTGACCATGCAAAATTATAGATTGTTTTGCACTATCGTGGTGGGATTTGCAAAAGCACCTACGTGATTTTCAGTGGGACTTCTGCTCCTAAGTCACTGAGGCAGTCTCTCCCAATGTCAGAGGGATCCAAGATGCTTAGCAGAAGTTTTTTTGGTAAGGACATTATGAGGAATAGCATATTATAGAGTGGTTTCACTTGTAAGAGCAATTGTCCCCAAATCCATTCTCTGGAAAGGTGACTTATCCTGCCTTTCCCTTCTGTTTGGGTTTCCCTTTCCTTTACATTATTCCTAGTTCTGTGCTTCAGCCACAGCACAGACCTTTATCTGTTCTTTCCCCATAGTCTGCAGATTCACAATATTATCTCAAGAGTTTATTTTTTTGTTCCAATACAGATTTTTGTGTTGGGAGGGAGAAGTGACAAGGCCCTGGGAGGTTTACTTTGATGTGTTCATTGCAAGTTGTGTTTGTTCAGGTGCTGCCCATTGAGGCCTTGATGACAGAGACTGGAGAGCTGTCTGACCTGGGGAAAGCATACACACCCCCTCGTGTACTTCAAGAGACACTGTGTGTGATCTCATGTGTAGCAGGGTTGGAAGTCGACCGCACTGAGTCAGAAAATCTTGCACTGGAGATGCTGTTAGTGAGCCATCACCCTTCCTTGAGTGAGTGAAGCGACAAGACCGTCCTGCTGGCTATTTGGTGTTGGTGAGGGCTGGCTGTGGAGTTGGTTAGATTTCTTTGCCAGTGCCTGCTTTATATTTATTATGCCTATGTATTCCCATCAATGTCTCTCCAGTGGAGGTGCAGTCTGGGCTTTGGTCAGCCCTCCTTATCAAGATGAAAATAGACCCTGAAGACTTCATTGCCAAACAGCTGGATAAAATTCTTCCCAGAATCACTACTCAGGTCCCCATAAACCAGGTGACTGGCATTTGCTTTTCCTGTCCGATCTCCAAGGACATCTTAGGGGCGAGGGCTGGAGGTGATGAAGGAGTGAGCAGGTGCAGTCTGGGCTTTGGTCAGCCCTCCTTATCAAGATGAAAATAGACCCTGAAGACTTCATTGCCAAACAGCTGGATAAAATTCTTCCCAGAATCACTACTCAGGTCCCCATAAACCAGGTGACTGGCATTTGCTTTTCCTGTCCGATCTCCAAGGACATCTTAGGGGCGAGGGCTGGAGGTGATGAAGGAGTGAGCGCTGTCGGGGTCTGGGTGAGGTGTCAGAAACACCTTAGACCAGGAGCTCTTTGCTCGTAGAACATGGTTTAGGGGAAGATTTGTTTGGGCTAACTTAGCAGGGACATACTCTTGGGACTAAGATGGGGAAACTGTTTCAGTCAGTGCTGTTTTTTTCTTGGCAGTCATCCATGAATGCAGTGGGGTCGCTCTCTGTACTTTCACCTGGCAGAGTTCTCCCTCAGCTGATCAGCACTATCTCTGCTTCTATGGAGAACCCAGCTTTGCACCATGTAACTCGAGAAGAATTTGCCATCATGCAGACACCAGAAGGGGAGCTGTTTGACAAATCCATCATACAGAGGTAAGGGCTTTCAATTCCTGTGTAAACTGAAATGCAGGAACTCAGTTTCCAGTGGTTTCCAGTCTTGGGGCAAAGGGTTTCGGGAGCTGTTCATAGATGGTGTCAAGTATCAGAGGGGTAGTCGTGTTAGTCTGAATCTGCAAAAGTGGCAAGAAGTCCTGTGGCGCCTTATAGACTAACCGAAGTGTTGGAGCATAAGCTTTCGTGGGCAAAGACCCACTTTGTCAGATGCATCTGACGAAGTGGGTCTTTGCCCACGAAAGCTTATGCTCCAACACTTCGGTTAGTCTATAAGGTGCCACAGGACTCCTCGCCGCGTTCATAGATGGGTGTTCCTGGATTTGAAGGAGGAACCTTTTCACTTTGCTTCATTGTGCTGATTCTTCTGAATACCTTTTTCTCAGTGCTCAACAAGACAGCATGAAAAAGGCCAACATGAAGAGGGAGAATAAAGCTTATTCCTTCAAGGAGCAGATCATTGAGTTGGAGCTGAAGGAGGTGAGGCGATGGTAGACAGACAGCCTAATGCAAGTTTTAGTGACCAGCCTATCTCATCTGTTTGATTGCTTGCTTCTGTTTTGTGTGTATGTTGGTAAATATGTACGTTGTTGGTGTCCAAATACCAGTTGTTGTTACAACTGATTTAAATACATACCTATTAGAGATGTTTGAGTGTAACCATTAAACGGAAAGCATCCCTTATTAGTTAAACAGTTAGTTGTTTAACAGTGTCAGTTATACTCAGCGAAGCCTCATTCCTAGGAGCTGGCAGGCAGAGGCTTGGTTAGCAACTTGGCTCCTAGGCTTCCGCAGAGCCCACGGCACGGGACCGTGTAACCAGAGATTTTCAGTGATTGCATAGTTACCCTATTACAGTAAACTTCCGATAATCCGGCACCTTTAGGACCCAGGGGGTGCCGGATTATCAAATATGCCAGACTATCGGAAGGGCGGGCTGTGAGGGGTCTAGGGTGGTGTGGGGGGATGTCACCCCAGCAGGCATCCCCGATTCAGCCACTCCTGGTCCGTTTTCGCCGCAG